GCCCGCCCCGCTCCGTCCGCACAAGGGTCTTTCTGTGTGATTTGTCTGGATGTTATGCTGTGACTATGGTCCTGGGTTTGACTGTTACTGTATTTACTGTAATACGGCCTGGTCACAGTGCTCAAGCAGAGCTACATCGATGCCATTTTATACGTATGTTATCGCAAGAAATAATTATGTGGGGTGTAACACATATATGACTTACAACCTGTATGTACATGTCTTTCAAGTCACTGTCACTGTCGTAAGTCATTTTGTGTCTTATTTTTTCTCTGCGTTTTGAAGATCCACCTGTGACCCGGGGCCCAGCCAGCCGCAGGCGATGAACAGAAAAGCCACCTGAGCACCCTTAGACCCGACCGGCCGCCTCCAGCCCTGGGTCACAGGACTCACCCTGTGTCACTGCACCTGTGGCTACGCGGCATCTGTGACAGTGAACACACCCACCAGCAGGGCCCGAGCACAGCTGACTTCCTGAGCTCCCACTGCTGTGGGTCAGGAATTTTGACGACTTTACCAAATAAAATCGATTTTCAAATCAGCCAGTGAGGGGCTAGTTATTGCACCCGTTGCACAGAGGAGGGAACTGAGCCCCGAGAGGCGTGCAGGGCAGACGGGCCGTCCGCAGAGGCCGGGTCTGAGCTGGGTCTGACGGCCCCCACGCCCTGCTCTCCGGCCCTGTCCGTTCTGCTGAAGGGATGCGTCCGCCCCCCATACCTGGGCCCTCTGCCCGTCGTATTTGTACTCGCAGGTGAAAGCTGCCTCATCGAAGCGCTTCAGGACCTCGCTGACGCCCCGGGTGGGGTGGGCCAACATTGGTTTCAGGGGGACCCCTGGGAGGGGAGGAGAGGGAGCGTTAGGGAAGGTGGGCAGAGGGACCACTAACTGTGCAACTGCTGACTGCACACAAGCGATGTGTGCAGGGTCTGGGTCACACCCACAGGAACCTGGCTGTCCCCTCTCTCTTGCCGTATCTGGAACGGAGACGTCAGCCATCTGTGACTACGTGCATTAGGGTGACAACCTTGGGATGACAGGGTGGCAGGAGAAGAAACCTGGGTCCCTGGGGATCCCAGAGCATAGCCAGCTGCCCTCCCTGGCCGCTGCCTTCCTCTGTCCGGCCTGACCACTGCCCTTGGGGAATCCCGGCGACAGCAGCCTCCTCCCCGACCCAGCACAGAGCGGAGCTCCAGGGGGAAGGAATGGGTCTGGGCCCCCGGAACAACACTCCACCCCGGGGACAAAGAAGATTCTGCGGGTTCTTAGAGGAGTGGCCCTCACAGCCCCCCTGGAGGCAGAAGCCAAGGCCCAGAGGAGGGAGAGGAGCCTGAAGGAGGGGTGGCCCCAGCTCCCACCCGAGCCAGCGGTGCACAGGGTGAGGCTGTGGTCAGACCTCCGAGGCCCCGGTGGCTTGTACCTGGACTCAGCTTGCAGTGCTCCGGGAGCCCCTCCAGGCCATGTTCCAGCAGCACCGGGACGATCCGGTCCAGGTCAGGCACCTGGCTGGGGTGGGGGGAGAACAAGGTGGGAGGTGTCCTTGCAGAGCTCAGAAGTCTGGCAGCCTGGAAGCTCTGCTCTCAGGCTGCAAGATTCACCTCTGCCTGCCTGTCCCCTGGTCGGCCTCTACTTCTCCCTGACTCCTCTGTCCCCTGGTCGGCTCCCCTCTCCCTGACTCCTTCTGTCCCCTTGTCCCTGGTCGGCCCCCACCTCTCCCTGACTCCTTCTGTCCCCTTGTCCCTGGTTGGCCCCCACCTCTCCCTGACTCCTCTGTCCCCTGGTCCCCCCCACCCTCCCTGACTCCTTCTGTCCCCTTGTCCCTGGTCGGCTCCCACCTCTCCCTGACTCCTCTGTCCCCTGGTCGGCCCCCACCTCTCCCTGACTCCTCGTCACCCTGCCTCTGCTATCTGCCCCCGTCCTCCCTGTGCCACTACACATCCCTCTGACCCTCAGTCTGAGCTGCCTTCAGCCCCCATCTGTCATCTTGACTACACTAGAAGCACTCAAGGACGTTAAAAGCAAAACACAGTATTTCTTCCAGGCCGGGCTCCACCTCCCAGAGGTGCCGATTTACTGGTTGTGGGGGAGGTGGGGGGAGAGTGAGAGCACGTCTGCAATCCCCATGTGCAGGCAGACCTGAGACCCCCGCCCGGGCCTGGGGGCTCTGCAGGGCTGCTCACTGCCCGGTGCCCAGCACCCTGTGGTCCTGGCCCAGAGCAGGTGCCCCGTGGGCACGTGTGGAACTGCTCATCGGCCCTCCTGCCGCTGACACTCTCTGGGCTGCCACCGTCTCGCTGTGGAGGCTGCAGCCCGGTCCCCCCACATGGCCCTCCCTGGAGCCTGTCAGGCCACACGTATCTGACCCCTCGCTGTGCCTCAGTCCCCAGCGGCCGCCGGTCTCACCAGAACGTCTGCTTCAGGATCATGCCTTGCTCCTCCAGCCACGTCTTTCTGGCCTCTGCTGTCTTGCCCTTCCCAGCATCCACCACGGCCGGGGGGAATTCTAAGACAAGAGCCAACAGAAGAGGCTTTGGGATGGCCCAACCCCCTCAGCCACCCCAGGGTCCACAGTGGGTGGGGTGCTGCAGACAAGGAACGGAACGGGTGCCGGGGACACTTCCCTCGGGAAAGGTCTGGAGTGGCAGCAGGAGGCAGAGCCACCGGGGAGGGGTGTGTGGGCTTCAGAGAAGAAGGGATGCCCGGGCTTCTTCAAGGGGTGGGCACTGGACCCCATGGGGGCTCACCTTGGCCTGGAGGCGTGAGGCTCACGGCCTGGGCGAGGGCGGCCAGCACCGACTGCTCTGCCAGCCCGAGGCGCAGCCGTCCACTCAGGGCTCTGGGAGAGAGCAGGTGAGGGGCAGTGGGCTTGCGCACACCTGTCCAATCTTGCCCCCCACACCTTCCTCTCCTCCAGGCTCCCCCACCTCCACCCTTTGGAGACCTTCTCCTCAGACCCCAAAACCGGCTTCAGAGCCAGAAGGGCCCCGAACACCACAGCCCCACTTAACAGGTGAGGAAACCGAGGCCAGTAACAAGCACCACTGGCACTTCCTGGGGGCAGAACCACGTGCCTCCCAGGTGTCGTCGCCTCTCATCTCATCTGAGAAAGTGGTGAGGCTTTCTAGGGGAGGGGGAGGGGGGCAAAGCCAGCCTGGAACCAGAACACAGCCTGCCGCAGTGGTGCCCAAGCGTGTGATGGGCAAGGGCCTGTCGCGGGCACAGGCCTTCACCGGAGCCAGTGACCTGGAGCGTGAGGCTGACCCTCCCTGTGCCTCCGCCTCCCCTGTAACCTGGGTGAGGAAAGCGCTGCCTCGAGAGCTGCAGGAGGCACTGATGGGAGGGCGCATGTGGCCCAGGACAGGGCACCCAAGAAACGCTCCAGGATGTCAATGGCGTTTCACCGTCATGGCAACCACCTGGCCCCCCCGGCTCACTGCCGGGCTCAGGCCAAGGCAGACATCACTAATCAATCATGGCACTCTCCACCCACGAGCCCGATTCTTCCCCGGGCAGGACCACCCAGGAGGAGCTGGCCCCTGAGGAGACCTGTACCCATTCCCCAGGCTGGCTCCTCCCCAGCGCATGCTGCTCTCATCTCAGGGGCTCCAGGCACCGCAGGGGCTCCAGCTGCCCATCCTCC